CTATGAAATATCCGCAGGCATGCTTCTTTGCAGACCTCATCGTTCCATGGTCCTTGTCCATCCATAGCTCAAGTTACAGAACTGAGACATGAACCGGTGTTAGCTGGATATGATAAGTTAAACAAATATCTTAAGTCTTAGAATAAAGATTTAATTCCTGAACAGGGTTCCCTGAGGATTGAAATTTTAGCTATGCTTTATTGAGTATTTCCATTTCTAAAGCAGTGTCACTCTGACCTTTGCTTCTATGGGTCTAACAGCTGTACAGAAAAGAGAACTGTAATTTGTTACTTAGTGGAAGAACATCTAGGCTTTGTAACTAGTACCACCTGAATACATTATTTGCTTCTCATTTAGAGAGTGCAAAAAGTGTAATGGTTGACTACTGTTATCTTCCAGTTTCCTTGCTCAAAGTAGGTTAAAAAAAACAAACAAACAAGCTATAAAAGCCTAATTCTTTATTATCTGCTAACACGAACTGAGAAGGTGTCTCCAAAGATCTTGGGGGTATACAAATTCTGAGACAGTACAAATTCATCAATTTACTGGTTGGTTTAAGCCCTATAAAGTCAAAGACTTGCAGACTTCAGTGTAATTCATTTAAATAAAGATCTAGCTCTGTAAGGCTAGTGGCACAACTACTGGCTGTCTCCAGAAAAAAAGCAAACAACTAGAATTGACAGAAACTTAATTACTATGGTTCCCTATTTGGGTGTGGGACAATTCTCTGGAAACATGCATACAGATTTCTGTATCTAGCCTATTAAAAGTTGTAAACAATTACAAATTTTTCTGCTGATGCAAAGAAATCATCAGCATAAAAATTAGACAAGTTTAGCATGCAGAAGTTAATAGAAACATACGGATCTACTGTAATCAAGAATGTAAAGGAACGAAGAAACAGTTTCAGATAACTCTGCCTGAGTAACGCCCAAGTATCATTTACTGTGAATGGCAATGTCACCTCTTCTCCAAAGGCAAATTCGTCTAACCATTTTTTAAAAAAAGTGGGAGAATACATACAGAAATCAGATATATGCAGTAGGTCAATAGCACGTGACATTTATTGCTCATTATTCTCAGTAGATTTTTATGATTCCAGATAAATTGGAACTTGACTGTAGGGTACCACAGTCTCAGCATAACTGCGCAGCATGCTGTGTTGTCATTTTGTTTTAGTGTATTTAGTACATTAGTACACTGAACAATAGCTGAAACCTGATTTGCTGATTTCACATCAAACTGCAAGAAACCACAGCTGAAAGAGGAGCAGTTATGAGCTAATTAAATTGTATGTCTCTGTCAGAAACTAGAGTATGAGCATATATATAAGACTGGAGTTCTATGAGGTCATATCACTTCCTAACCCAGATATTGAAATTACAACCATAATCCCAGAATTCAAACTGTGCACCTTAACATTCAGCACCACTGAACTCCAACATCAACACGGCTTGAATGGCAAATTACAGTTGTAACATAACTTCAGAAACTGATAGGCTCCTGCTAGTGGCCATACTCCAAGTGAAAGTAAAGCCAAGCTGAACCAGTTCTCCATTCTCACTGTACCCAAGAGGAGCAGTAAGCTCCAAACTTCACTTGAAAGCAGTGTTATCACCACTCATGAATGTCTGATAATCAGATGAGCCAGCTCTTCTGCCATGTCAGTAGATATGCAGACTTACAATTTGATTTAAACCTTTGCTGGAGCAGAGCTTATTGTAGGGCGAGTTCTGACAGGCACCTCCTGGAGCATGAGGAGGCAGGGACTACTGATTACTACTCAGATGAAATCTGTTCAGGTTGTACAAACATTCTGCAACTCACTTACCCCACCATAATCTAAGCTATTTGATTGCAGGGATCAGCAGAGCAATTTTAAGATATCCTAGGCACAGAACAAATGGCTCTGAAGGAGTTCAACAACTGCTTGTCCCGCTTAAGAAACTTACTGAGTCCAGGGTCTAACTGCAGTGTCACTGAGTCAAAAACTAGAGCTGAGCATTTTGGATCACAGAATCATTAAGGTTGGAAACGACCTCTAAGATTCCCATGTCCAACCATCATCCCACCTTCATCATTCCTGCTGACCACATCCCTCAGTGCCACATCTCCATGGTTCTGGAGCACCTCCAGGGACAGTGACCCCACCACCTCCCTGGGCAGCCTGTGCCACCGCATTATCACTCTTTCTGAGAAGAATTTTTTCCTAATATCCAATCTGAGTGTCCCTGGCACAACTTAAAGTCATCATCTCTTGTCCTTCTTAACTGGGGGACTTCATGCAGGTAACAGCTGAAGTGTCCCCTGTGTCAGAGGCAGAGAGGTTGGTATCTAGATGTTTGCTTGTTAGAAACCAAAGAAAAATGTAGATTGGGTCTTTAGGAATTTGAAGCTCTCTTTAGCTCCTCTTGGCACAGCAGTCATCAGCAGGATTGGGTTCTCCAGCTCTGGCCACTGTAGAGGTTTGGTTGTTGATAGTGGTTTATCAGTAGGGGTCCTGCGTGGAGCCAGCAGCTGGACAGAGTAATCCCTACAGGTCCTACCCAACTCGGGATATTCTATGATTTTCTCTCTAATGCAGCACTAGCAGAAGTCAGAGCAGATCTGCCTTACCGACAGTGAGTGTTGTGCTATGTACAAATTCTTACGGATGTCATTTAACAATGGAATGAGAGTCTCCTTTCTGCAGTGAAAGGCATCAAAGTTATATTTTAGGTTAATGCTGCAGGATTCCCTTTCTTTTTTCTTTGAGCATCCTTTAAGGCTCACTAGTGTGTGTTTGTAGCTTTTTTCCTCAGCTGCTTCTTTGGCACTCAGCACCCTGAATGAGTTTGCAGAGGCTCTTTTGAGATTCCCCAGTTCTTCAGTGCCACCCTCATTTGTGCTATTTAAACCTTGATCCAGAAAGCCAGGAGGGAAGGCATGAAGGAGCTCAGTGAGGCTGTTCACACTCACTTTTGATCTGTTGGATCAAAATTATGATGCAGGAAAGGTCTTGGGCAAGAAGTTGAGAGGCAAGGACTTATAGTTGGCAAAATAAACAAACAAACAAGAAAAAAACAGCATGGTTTCTTCTCTTTTGTTTGGATCTCACAGTGACACTTATTCACGTGGGGAGAGGAAATTGGGATCAGATGACCCCTTCCTATTTTAAGGCTGCCAAGGTTTATCAAAGAACTAGAGAGTAGCACACAAAAATAAAAGGATGGAATTCTTCAAATAAAATAGAGCTAAACTGTGGACTTCCTTGCTACTGTATGTTATAGCAGATAGAAATTTGTATTTAATAGGTTCAGAGATGAGAAACCTACTCCGGGTTGATGAAATCATCAATAGGATAACATTTGCATGTACAGCTTCAGACACAGACGTTATGAAAGCAGAAAATGAAAAGATGCCAGATCCCCAAGCTTAGATGATTTTGGGTTGAACAATTTTGATAGCTGCAACGTAATAGATTACTTCTAAACTATCAAATCACAATGAGAGAGGAATGTATCTTTTGGTTGTATTTACTCAACTACCAGGAGGGAAGCTCTATTCCCCACACTCTAGGACCTTATGCCATGTGGCATTTACTGCAGTCTTATCTCAACTAATATGAATATACAGTTAACAGTCGTAAAGTATAGCAGTAGCTCATAAAACACAGAGCACAGTCACAAAAGTCATTATCAAACACTATTCTACAATTCTATTTAGTAAATTTACCCATTATTTATTTCATCAAAATAGACATTTTTATCTCGGTTTTGCTAAGTCATACAGAGATGCAACAGCAAATACGGAAAGAGAAAAACTATGCACAGAAATCAAAGCCTCCACATGACTTACTCTTTGTATCATCCTATTGCCTGCTATTAGTGTATACCATTGATGTCACTTCTGTCCTCTCAAACTGTTTTGAGCACTGATAAAATTTATAGATATTGCTTCAGTATGCTGAAGCCTCTCTTGCTTCCCTAATTGCCAGGATCTGTTTTACGCTTGTGCAAAGGCAACAAGATGAACTGCTGCTTCAGTATGAATAATTTTGCAAAGAGTGGTGGCAGTTCACGTCTGGGCTGGGGAGAAGGAGATAACTATATGATGCAGAACTGCATCTGCATATAAATAGACTTAATCAGAAATGGAAATTGCAATCAGAAGAAATTGTAAAAGCCTATGATAAGTGAGCAGATAAGAAAAGGTCAAACTCTTGTATAGCTGAATGTTTTAAATTGTTATCAGCCAGTGGTGATTCCTTTTTTATGAACCAAATGTTGAAAAGACAAATATACACCATTCTGTAATCAATGCCGTACAAGTTCTGGATATATTTCTCCTATTATTACAACTGTTCTGCTGTTAAACCCTATTTTACACTGTCAGTCTCAACAGATTCAAGAAGCATCAATGAAATGAAAACAAAATGAAACCAAAAATAGTCAGCATGAAGTAATACAGTTAATTCCACAGTTAAGTAGAAGTAATTTCTATTTCCTTTTCATTTCCAAATGCAAAGCTCTGGATTGACATATCTTAACATCCTCGAGTAAATGAAAAACTAAATGACAACTATTGTTTACTGAAACTGTATCATAACACTGTCAAAATTGTCTGTTTTTCTTCCACAGTAAAAGTGGCCTAGGACTACAGGAATAACATCGGAAAATGTTATTTAACAGTTTCAAGCGTTGGCTTCTTCCTTTTTTGAAACAAAGGGTTTTTGTCAATAGTAGCTAAGAAAAAATACATTTAAATGGAGGTATCCAGATATTACATGATTTTACATTCAAGATGAGAATAAAATAAATATGTAACAGTGTATCATTTCAAGGAGAATTTTTTTTTTTTAAAGAAGCCAGGCTAAAAAGACAACAGTACACCTTTTTGACGTGTTTTGCTATAATAAATTTTTAGGATTTAAATAAAAAATGTTTACTTAATACTTCTTTCACATTTGACTAATGCTTCAGAACAAACTAGCGAGTGAAGAGAGCCATCTAGTGTCATACCTTGGAATTTTAAAAAGAGTTTTCACAGGATGCATGTCAAATAAAGGAGGGTCTCCATCTCCGAGTTCAATAGCTGTTATTCCCAAAGACCATACGTCACATCGAGCATCATATGAGTAGTCATATTGCTGTTCACAAGCAATGACCTATCAGAAAACAAAACAATGCATTAACATTATGCACAATTCAGGCGATCCTAGTGTGACACAAAAGTATTTTCTTGAGTCATGCCTAAAATCCCGATTAGCTTTCAAATTCATATCCTTGGGTATATAACTCATAACTCAGTCGGTAAATATCCCACAAAATTTATCAGTAAATGACAACTTCTCTTTATTGTCGTTTTTTAAAATATTATTATTTTAAAAAAATCTGTTGTGTTTTTTTTTTGTTGTTGTTTGTTTGTTTAAATTAAGCTCCATGGAATGCTTCATATATCTATACAAAGAACATTGCTTTATTAAATTCTGTTCTTGAACACACTTCCTACAACAACCATCGCGAAGGAAGGCACAGAATCCATTTGATGTTATTCTTATCAACTTCTATGATTACTCATGAAGAAAGACAGATTTGCACAGTTACTTTTTAGATAAGAATATTCCCATATTTATTTCTGCCTTTTTAAATAAATATATATTTTTAAATTTTAGTTAATCTCTACTAAGTTCAAGTAATAATAATTAAAAAAAAAAACCTTAGCATACCATGTACCCTAAGACAAGTTGAAGTTAAGAGAAATCTTACTTTGGACATCAGCAGAGTTTTGAATCATAAACCTGACGTACACTTCCAGTTACCTCATTGTTTGCATTCTAATCAAAAGCTAACTATTAGACACAAGCTGGAAACGTGACATTCATTAGACATGAGATTCAGAGTACTGTTTAAATTTAGATTTATCTTTGCAACAGCGAAAATGTCAGTTCATTGGCTTTTTATTCTGGCTCAAGTTTGTATTCTTAAATCTCAACAATTACACCAACTGCAGATCCCTGCATATTCCAGTATCTACTTCTGTACTTTTTCTCTAAGTTCTAATTATTGTTACTAATTTGTACTTAACCAGAAACTTCTGATAGCATTTCCCAGAGTTGCTGTTCCTGTAGGAGATTATTTCTTACCTCCAAGTAATACTATCAGTTTTACTTGCAAGCTTTGTGCTAAGGCTTCAGTTTAGGGCACTGCTTTGCAGAAGTGCCAACCTGCAAGTCAGCATCCTGGGTTGCCGCTGGCAGGCAGCCTGATGTAAGGAAACCTTTCCTGTAGAAGATCCTGATTTCAGTTCAACCTCTAAAATACATCTTTTTTTCTCCAGAATCTCACCTCACAGACACGAACCTTGTTCTATTCAACAGGCACATATGATCTAACTCTAACTCTGGAATTCATAACCCCATCATGTACTTTATCAGAAAATAGAGGTGTTACACATATGATCTAGAATACTGCAGAAATGTGGTTTAAGAAGGCAGTCACTAGTTAATTCCTTTTTTTTTTTTCCCCCCAACAGAACATCTAGAATGAAAACTCTAACATATTTCTTGGTTCTTTAAAGAATTCATTATAACCTGCTCTCATTCTAGAGATTCCTCATCTCTTGAAAAAGATGCAGTAGACAGATTCTATGCAACTCGTACAGCTTTAAATCATTACTCTTATTTCAGAAGCCTATAGGATAATTACATTTAATTATACTGAATCTTAAAGAGAAGGAAAGAATTGAAATTTCTTGTAAAGGCATGTAAGTCAGTATGAAGAACCATCACCAGATGATTTGTTCTAAGGCCATACATGGCATCAGCTGGTATTTCCCCCAGTGCAGTTTTCCTCAGAGGTTGTTTTCCCTCATTATGTTTGGATTTTTTTAGATAGTTTCCAAAAATATCTGTGTACTCATGCACATTTTTTTCAATTAAAAACAAACTAATAAACATGCAAGTCATCTTCCAAGGCCATGACTCAGAGGAAGCTGGAAGTGGCTTATCTGTAGTAGACTAATACAACACACTGTGATCTCCTTCCTTCTTTATATAAGAAAAATATTTATCTGCTTGGTTGAAAGGCTGCTTAAAACCCACCTCCTAACAGGGACTATTCCAAAAGCTGCCAGGTTCTCACCATTGTGCTGAGTCTTTTGCAAATATTTGGCTATTTGTTCTCCAACTTTATGAAGCAGAGGAATATTTTTCACTTTCAAGGGAAGAAGCACCTGCTCAAGGTCACCCTGCATCAGCAGCAAAAGCAAAAGAACAGCTGAGCTTTCCCACATTTAAGACACCATCACTTGTTACTCTATATAAGTACATCTAAATAGCTTCTAACTACAGACCAATGGCACAACTTGCTGGTGAAGGAATGGTATACCAGCACTATTGGTTAAAAACAAACAAAAAAACCAAACTTTGAGCTTCTCTCAGCTTTACAATGTGTTACCTACCAAGCAAAGAGAGAGGAATGAACAAAGCATCTATAGATGCACTATATTCCACCACTAACAGCTACAAATTTGGGAAATACAGCATATGGAACTACAATACTTGCACTCTTACCCATGGGAATTAAACACTGTCAGTTTGTCCTCCATTCCTACATCAGAGCCTGAAGTGATTCTTTTAGAAAAATATTCCCCTTAATCTGCATTCTTTTCGTTTCCAAAAATTCAACAACAGACCTTATTACCAAGTATATTTTAGTAGTGAGATTAGCTTTAGAGAAAATGCACAAAATGAGCTGCTTTTCTGACATTGTGTATGTGGCATGTACATGACTGTAGTGACCGCTTTGGTTCGGAACAAGCTTTAAATTTCAGTGGAACTTATTAGAATCTTACCATCTTATGCACCACTAATACAAGCACCTGTAAGTAGCACTAATTTTAATTTTCAAAGCAAGAATCTGACTACAGCTTTTTCCTTGATGATCAGTATTTATAGACAATTACCTTTATAATTTGGCTATCAGACAACTCTGCCTCAAAATTTAAAGATATAACTCTCCCAGCCATAGTTTACAAGCTAAGTCCTTGGGAGTGCCCCAGTTCTGTCTTCCACTGAAAACCACAGGAACTCCCTGCAGAGCAAAAAATCTCTGAAAGCTAGCTAAAAAAAATTCCCACTGATTCATCTTCTATTATGTTCCTGTCCCTACAGAGAAGTCAGAGATACTTATTTTTGGGAATATCTCCTCTTTTCAGTCAGAATTCTGGAGCTAAAACAGCCTCCCAGCTTCTAAAGCTTTACTGATTCCTGCTCTGCACAGTGGGACCTGAAGGCAGAGAGACCAGAAGAAATTATCTGAAACTGAAGAACCTGATACTTCTTTCTCAACCTTATGTAATGACATCATCACATCTGCACCTGTTTTGTATCCAGTAAAATCCCCCTATCCTGGTAAAAGTCAAAGAGAAAAGGCAGATTGCATCCCCTGATGTTTTGGGAAGATGTAGTTAATCTTGAGATTTGGCAGTGAATGTCATAGGAACAAGCGTCAAGTACTTCACTTCAGCATAGGCTGTTTACGCACATGCAGTAGCCCAGGTTGCTAAGGAGACAGACGTTTTGTACCTTCTGTACTAGTAATTTCATCACAGTTTCCCACCCAGTTATACTGCATTAGGGTGAAAAACACCTTATCGTCACACAGAAGAACAGGCAACATGATGGTATTCGTCAACACTATTTGTGTAGAGGGTCACAGTGGGACAGGGTGAGGTGGGGGCAATTCACTGGTCTGGCAAAAACAGCACATAAATTGGTCACACTAACTGAAGGGCATTTAGAGAAGCCAGGGATTAGGCATTCTGTGCAATTTATAACTTTTACAGAAACAGAACACTTCACAAAAGAACACAAGATGATTCACTCCCTGACAAAAAGATTTTGCACTCAAGGACATAATTCTACTCGCTTTGAAATCAATGCAAAGATTTCTCTGAACTCCAGCAAGCATGTAAGTAGATTGCAGGTGGATATAAAAAAAAGGAAAACATAATACAGAGCACTATTATTTGTACACTGGATGTACTGCTTATAATCAGAAAGTAAGATCTACATATGTTTAGCAAAAGGAAAATACATCAAACCTTTCAAAGCTTACCTGGAATTATTAGAAGTGAACTTACTTCCATTTTGTCTCCATACAGACAACGCATGCATGAAGCAGCTGCAAGCACGCACACACAGTATAACTGACTGATAGTAACAGTACAGATCTGCTACCTGGAGACAATCACTACACAATTAGCACTGGTGATGACCCACCAGCAGAAAGGAGTCTTTAGTTGGAATGTTGAAGCTCCTGAAGAAAGGCAGTGCTGTACTCAGCTGCCGTAGCTAACTAAGCAGCTTACGAGGTGTGTGAGCACAACGCTGAAAGCAGAGCACAGCATACGAAAAATAAATGTGGAACAAAATTCTTACCCTTGATGCAAGGAGAACAAAACTGCTAATGAATGCAAATGAAAATAAATCAACTGAACTTCTGTGCTCCACCTGACACTATTTAATCTAATTTAATTCATATAGGTGGTAAATTCAAAATTAAATATTGATAGAAATCTTATGCATCAAGATAAAGAAATCAACACAAAAAAACACTGAGGATACTGAATAATCCAGAGCAAAGTTGATGCATATATATTTAGGGTATATATAACATTTACTTATTGTACACGTGCACATTCACACAAATAAAATAAGCAAATTCATGTCTGAAATTTGTTATGTATTCCCCCACCTTTTTATTTTGATTTCTGTTCCTTATTTGTGATTATCATTCAAATATTTCTGTGATGCATCAGAAAATGATTATATTGTTAAAAATGTTTCCAAAATAAGAATTAATATTTTTAATCATTTGCATTACTAATCATTTCAATTAACATTGATTCATTGAAATTAATTTTATATCAAGCAGCCATTCGTAATTTAACAGCTAAGGATTAAAAAACAAAGTGTTTTTATTTTTACCTCATCCCAGTGAAATATACCTGAGACCATTAGACTGCCCTAACAGAAGACAACATTCACAGGGAAAAGGAGTACCTCTTATTAGTCCTACAGATGCAGCATAGAAAAAAGACAAGCTTTTGAGCATGTTTTGCTTTATATCATGGATTCATCATGCCTTCAACACTACTTATGAG